CACACACACACACACACACACACACACACACACACACAGAGTATGCCACTATTAGCTCTGCTGTCAGGTTGGGGATACGGATCACACGTATCTATTTTGAATATCTGCTGAGGATTGCAAGTCTGTCCCAGCATGCAAAGGCCACAGAGAAGGCGTTACTGATGACATTAACAAAACCTCTGCTGAGTTCAAGGGTCCCAGTATGACAGGACAGTGTGATGCTGACCCAGCCTGCAAAAATACCACAACACTGACAATGAAGTAGCTAAATGGACTTTGTTCTTTTTATTATTAACAATTTTTCATTGAGTGTGGTTTATCAAAATGTCATCCATAAAATAGGTTTGAGTGAGAGGGGGTTCACACTGCAGGTCACCAACTCACAAGCACACAACCACATTCACCTGCATGTGTTGGGACTGTAGGAGTGAAGCAGAACACGCACAGAACATGCTAATTCTACACTGACTCACTGGGTTCGAACCCTCGCTGTGAGGTATCACATAAAAAAAAGACACCCATGTAGTGCACACCATCAGATCGGCTGATCAGGATCTTCCGATTCGTAAAATTAAACAGCCACATTGATGAAGACAACGAGGTGTAGCAAGCTCAGTTACACTTTACTCTATTTGCTACATGTTTCTATAGCAGCTATGTGGACAAACTTCTGCCACCATCTCTTGTCCTTTTAAGAATAGTCAGATGGTAATTATCCTCTCTCTCCTCTGCCTGCTCTATTTGCTTTTACACTAAGGCAAAATGCAAAAATAATTGCAACAGAGTCTGAAAAGTTTTGTGGCAGAAAGTGCATTTGTTGTACTTTTGTTTAATTGTGATAAAAACAAGCAATTGTCTTGTGATCGGGATTTTTTATTTAGTTGTTAATGGTCTGGATCCTGCAATCATACTGGTGTGATAAAATCATGTATAGTGTTAATGGGTCAATTGATATATTATGTCAAAGTGAAGAAAGCGATCTGGTCATATAGGCAGTGTTTTGCTGGAAAAATATATAATATTTGAAAGGTAAACATTTTGTTTCTGTCGTATATAAAAGGAAACACGAAAACATTAAATAATGGCCAAAATAGCTGAGGACTCGTAAGGGTGAATTATTTGTGTCCCATATGTCAGGGATACATGTTATGGTTCTGTTCTTCCCTGCAATAGTTACCATTGGATGGGCTGTAGCCCTTCTGCTGTTCTCCAAAGGTTATTCACTCACATCGGGTCTATTTACATGAATGGCCCCTGTGATATTTGATCAAACTTAAATATATCAGTAATGTGTATTCAAATGTGTGACTGCTGCCTCCTGACCGTACCTCTGAGTTTCTTCTGCCAGTTCATCTCGTTGAAGAGGTCCTCTGCTCGCAGGAAGAAGTCGTTGATCTTGCTGCCCTGCTCGTCTCTCTCGGTGGTGTAGTAGATTCGCAGTTTTGACTCCGAGGTCAGGAACTCGCAGATGTTGGGCACAGGGAACACGATCTCCTCCATTGTTCGGTCGTGACGCACAATCTGTACAGAGGAACACACAGTCACCTCCAAAGTTCTCAGAGGAGCAAAAATGTATGGACCCCTGCAGGCCCATGTGGTCTTATTTGGCATGAAACATCTTGTTTTATGGATCATTCCTTTAATTTGTTTTACTTGTGATATTCTATTACAAAAGATGTTGATATTATGTGACAAGGGCTATATGACCTCTATCTGAGCCGTGTGTTTGGCGTAGAACTCCAAGGCCTCATCTCCCTCTCCACTGGGCCCTCCAGGCTTCAACATCATGGACAGCTCCTTGTTATGACGCGCCAGCTGCATAAGGAAACAGCCTACAAGTGAGCTTGTCACAGAAAAACCAGAGAGCCGGGAACAGAGCTTTTCACACATTACATAATATTGTGTGTCGTGCTGTGCATCAAAATGCGGGTCTGCACAAAATGTTGCAGAGACGAGGAGCAGACCTGGTGAGCTAAAATGTAAATGTTGTGTCCAACGTTTCTGGGGGAGGCGGCATCATGTTCCTCCTCTTCCCCGTTATCCTCCTCCTCCTTTGCATCTTCGAACTCCACCTCACCCTGCAGATAGGCCTTTTTTATCACCTCCACCTGCACACGCACACACAAGGCCAAAGCTCAGAAGGTGCTGCACTGTCGATGTCAAAAGGAGCCGAGAAAAGGAAAAGGTGAACACCATCTTCTCACCAGCTCTTTAGGTCTCATGTTGTACAGGATCCTCTCAGCATTCTCGCTGTCATGGCGGCTCTCCATGATGGCGAGCAGCAGCTTGGACGCATTGTTCTGTGAAGAGAGAAGGGAGGCAGAGGAATAGAGAGATCTGAGATAAGAACTTCAGCTCTGCCAGTTTCTTCGTCCAAGGAAAACATCCAGAAACCCTGGTGTTTTAGGAAAATGCACTCGGCTGCTATTTGTCTTGGCAGAACTGCACAAACACAGGCTCAGCTCAGACGCATGAATGTCCTGCTCTTACACTTGTAGCCTGTTAGTCAAATTTCCATCCTGCTGTGAAGGGAAACTACAGCAAGTTTTTTTCCCCAAATGCTTTTTTTCTTTTGTCTGAGAACCCAGATTTATGTTCCATCCTCAACTCCACTTACACAAGGCCCAGCCAACTCACCTTGAGCTCCAGCACCAGGTCCATTCGCTTTTTCCCAAGCGGGTTGATGTCATTAAGGATCAGAGCAATGATGATATCAATACCATTGGACTCATGGGTGGCGATGCAATTCTATAAGAACAAGAGAATAGAAAATGTATAAGAGAGGCCAGAGGAGGCTTACTCCTGGATTTCACCTGTGGCATAGTCGCCCGTTTACCTGATTTTCATGGCAGGGGCCCTGGCAGTACTCTGTGAGGCTCTCCAGAGTTTGGTTGATGAGGGCCACATTCTTCTCATTGATGTAGAGCCCCAGCAGGCCGAGGCCCCCAGTGGTGCTGCCACAGATACAGTCTAAGAACTGCAGAGTCTCGCACACAAGGTTGTAGTTGTTCTTGTTGTTCTGACAGCGGAGGAAGTTCTGAGAAGATTAAAAAGATTGGGGCCGTATGAGAGCGATCAGTCTGTATGGAGTGAACTAGATATAATAAACTATGAGTAATCAACCAATCAAAACCTCATACAAACAAATACGCAGTAAAGGAAAAGTTTGCCTGAGAATTATAATTTGCCACCAATAGAGAGGCCAAGCCTGAGAGAAGGTCTTTTTATGAAAGTAGCCCTGGAGACCAAGACATTAAGCTAAAATAATCAGATCATGGCCAGCTGTCTGATTAAAAATGTCAATATTGCATCATTTTCTTATCAAGTAAACATCTGCAGGCATCACTCTCAGGTTTACATAACGCTCTAAATGCAGCTGTTTTCTCTCTACAGTTGATCCTAAGTAACTAAAAGTCATTCTTTCCAGGCTCAGTGAAAACTGAGCAGGAGGCTCTGTGAACACAAGTACTGTAAGAACTCAAGAAGTGGAGTTGTTACTTTCATGTCTCTATTAATAAAAATGTATCAGAGAAGCCATCTCAAGTGAGAAATGACCTCTGATGCAAAAGTTGATCAAGGAATTTGCATTTTGTTATAAAACTGACTAGAGGCTGCTGTGAAGAAGCTGAGGACATTTTTCCACCTAAAACTCTGAACCAAGGTCTACGTCTTTCTAACATTGGTTACATTCGATCTGGTTAGTTTTGTGTCACATTGTAATCCAACAGGAGCGAACACACTGCAAATCCTTCGAGCTGCTTCTGCTTCTATTTGTTCTTTAATTGTTTAATGCTCAACTTCCTGCAATTGGTCAGAAAGTCTGAGCTATCCCAAAAAGTGTTTCAACCCTGCAAATCAACCAAACACTGGTTAAGTTCAATCTGGACCAAGACCACCTCTTTTGGTCAGACTTTGTTTTGGTCCATTGGTCTGAGGCACCTGACACACCTGTAATTTTGGTTCGGATTAAAAAGAAAAGTCAAAAAACTGTGACCCACTCTAATAGATTTTTAGAAAACCAGCAGTGTGTGATGCTCAGTCGGTCCCACCTGCAGGTCACGGTTGTGATTCTCACACAGAAGCTGGAGGAAGCGAAGTATCGGCTGCATGATGACGATGACAAAGCTCATCTCTCCATCGTCCTGGTTCTTGTCTCCTGTGCTGGGCTGGCCGTCTGCTGCGGTGAAGTGTTCATCGGCATCGGCCTCTCGCCGGTAGGAGTTGAAGGCCTTCTTGGTGGCGGACGAGGCCTCTATTAGCTGCTCTCTCACATCCTCTGTCATGACCACGGTGGAGTCTTTGGCTACACAGACATAAGCACCAAAGACAGACTGAGGACCCAGTGGAATCCCTCATAAACTGCGATCCATAAATCCTCTTTCTGTTTTGCCTGAATTACTTGCATTAGTAATTTAAGCTGTTAACATCTTTATGAAAACAATACATTCAATATGACAGGTGACCGCTGACCTTTTTTGCGGACGGGGACGTCTTTATCTTGGCTGTCATCGTCCCTCTTCCTGTTTCCTAGGTCACTGGTATTAACCGTCACTGTGGCTTTGATTTCCAGCTGGGCCAATTTCATACGATCGTAGAAAACCCGGAAGAACTTTTCTGATTTCTTGTCCTCTGTCAGGCGGCAAAAGAAGGAATGCTGAATACACGGGACGAGGAGAGAAAGGAGGGATTATCATTTATTTATTCCTTAAAGATATTTCTTGGGCATTTCTTTATTGACAGGACTGTTCAAGTGTGAAAGGGTGAGAGAGACTGGGGGACGACACGCAGCAAAGGGGTCAGAACCAAACCTGCAGCCGCTGCAGGAGAACTTAATCCTCCGTTTGTGAAAGGAGGAGTTATCGATTTTTCTGTCTGCTAAGCAAAACAAACAGTATCACAGTGGGATTGTTAAATGGCAAATATCATGTGATGCTATAAGGCAATCAGTTGACTAATCAATATCCAGAGTATTAGTCTGCAACTATATTGACAACCAATGAATAATTTAAATCACTTTACAAGTAAAAACACCAAAGACTCTCAGGTTGTAGCTTTTCAAATATTGATAATTTGCTGCTTTCTATATTTTAAGTGATTGAGATTTTCATATTGTTGGTTTTCAGACTGTTGGTCACTCAGGTGACTGGAAAACAATGGAAGGAATTTTTTATGTCATTTTATACACAAAACAAGAGAACATTTAATTTAGGGCCTAGTTTTCAGCACTAATGCAAACATTCAACAAAATAAGGACTATATGTTCCCCTCCAAGCATTGTGCAACTGATTACTTATTGAGTGCAGTGAGCTGAGGGTGAAACCAGTTAACATGAGGACATGGACTTCACCTTAAATGGTCTAATTAATCCAGCTTCAAGAACTAGTTTAAAATTGTTCCTATGCTTATATATTCTAAATAATCTAATTCTGAATGTTCCCAGCCGATAGTAAAAACATGATCAATCGTCACCCGATATAAGCGAACTGGTCTTGACTGGAGCAACACAAAACATTATATAACTATGATGAAGCAAGTCTGGATTTACTGTGATGTGAGAAGCTTAAATGCTGCATTTATGCCTGTGGAATGGGGTCATGTGGAATTGGAACACTTTCGGGCCCGTGAGCAAAATGCATACATGGTGTCCCGGCCCACAGGTCTGTTGTTTTGATTGCATAAGTGCTGTTATCTGCTGCAGCCTATGGAAAGACTTTGACCAGCCGAGGCTGCCTCACCACACAAAAAATGACGGGAGAGGGAGACGCCTGGCCTACTTACACAGATACAGAGAGACTGAGATGTCAGGGAGTGGACAGGAAAAAAAGATAGAGGTGTTAGACAGACAACAAAGAGAGAGTAAGGGAGTAAAAGGGAGAAAAGCGGAATGATTGAGGGAGGTGAAACAAGAGTAAGAGATAGGGCGGGACAGATTTCTATCAGTCAGTATCTAGGTCACTTCTCTTTTGTTACATAACCATCTGTCTTTCCAGGTTAGATGTAAAACTAGGCTACTAGAGGAAACAAATAAATGATAGTCACAAGGAAATTGTTAAGCAAAATGGACAAAAAAAGCCTTGTTTCTCCTGTTCCAAGGAGACTGTGTACGGGTGTATTTTCCAAATGCTTTATATGGATTGGCATTTAGTGTCGAAAGTACAGCTAAGTCTTTTCATTGAAAACAAAAAATCGTGACCAACCAATTAAGTTGTCAAAAACCAGAGCGAGGGAGAGCGTGCATGCAGCATAACTCTGAGGCCATGTTTTTTCCACAGAGACAATGACATAACTTCACCCTGAAGCAGAATTCCAGAGCACTTGTGCCCTACCCCAGTCCTCCACCACTGAGCAGCAGCCCTCCTGCACGTACACACTCTGCCAAAGCTCAGGGACGAGAAGATAGCAACTGTGAGGAGGGGCCGCCACCGAGCAAGGCCATCACGCAATAAACAACTTGATGACAGAGAGAAGAGGGCAAGGGAGAGGGGATTAGCTGCCACCGCACTCACAGCTCACAACTCACGGCATGCCTGAGATGGGGAGGTAAGGGTGGGGGGGGGGCAGTAATGGTCATGCCTGTGTGTGCTCACAGAAGTCTGTCCTGAAGCGAGGGCCCACAGGGAGGGAGGGAGTGCAGGAGGTGAGGCATGAGGCCCAGGGCCAGGATAACACACGTCAATGAGACCAGAGCAAACAAAGAGAGGAGCTCTCACCATCACCCTCCCCCACTCTGTACCATTACATAACTCGCGCTCACACACGCGCACACACTACACTTACAGCACAAGCTCATGAACGCCAGAGAGTTCATATGGTCACACACCCACTGACTTTTTACACTCACAAAACTGGGTCAGCAATCTCCGGCATAGGCATATGCCAATTTGGAGAGGACACACCCACAAATCACACACATGCTCTGCAATACAGTATTCTCTCCAAAACTCTGAGTATGCCAACATTATTCTTATGTAATCACATCCATTTTCCACTGCCTGTCCTTTTTATCAATGTCGTATCTCCCATTTCTGGGATATCCCGGGGTTAGAGGCGCTCTGGTCTCGCGTGCAGGGCCTGGCAGGACTGAGCACTGTGTACCGACGGGTTTATTTCATCTCTTGGATCAGAGTTAACTGCAGCAGATATACTATTTAACTGTGGTGGAGGTAAGTTGTTTGATTGATGGTGTGTGAAGGGGAATGCATCGGTCATGTTGGAGTTATTAATGATTTCTTCATGCAGGGAAAGTTTTCACTTGCAGCAGCAGACTTAACATGTCATTTTATTTTACAGCCCCTTACTAAGAACTGAGCTGAGCGGGTCGAGTGTCACTGAAACCAAGCCTGTATTTAAAGACAGAACAGCACATTAAAGAAAAAACACTGCAGCACACTTTCATTTTCTAGATTCTTTAGAGATGTCTGTATGGCTGAGACAATGAATCAGAGGCAAAAACCCAGACTTTCATGTATAACCCGGTCGCTGCCTCTGCAGTGTTTCGATGCTGCTCCTTACACACTCTGCTGTCGCTTCAAGACACCATCTATGTTTTGAATGCACTTGAAAAGCAAGGACACGACTGGCATGATGAGGGATGGCTTTACGGATGGCGTGTCAACATGGTGGTCAAGGAGAGAACAGAGTGATAGTAACAGCGGAGGAAGGAGGAGGTAGACGGGAGAGGAACAAGCATCTCATGGGCTCCCTGTAGTTTTGGGTAAACATAGAGCCCTGTCTGTATCCATGGAGACAAGCCCTGAGTGGAATGAGACGGGATGAGGTGGGGGCGGACAACACTGAAAAACAAGGTCATAGCGCTTTCCCTTCTCTTCTTCCGTTCTGCCAGTTGGAATCAACAAAGGGATGTTATGCAACAGCTATTTATACCCACGCTCCCTTTCCCTCACGTCGGGCAGCACCGCATGCAAACCAAATGGAACGGCTGCTCTGCTCCGAGTCCTTTTCCCCCTTCGCTCTGCCTGCTCCTCTTTTCTCAGACCAGCCACTTCTCTCGTCATTTTTCCAACTGAATATGAATGCTGTTCTTTTAATAATACCGATTGAATGCAGCTGCAGGGCATGTGTTCCGGAGGGAAACAGAAGAGCACGCCACACGGTTGCACGCCAGATGGATGAGGAGTGAAATGTCACAAGTTGCCATGTCACAACACAATTTACAGCTGTCTGAGCTCTTCCATAGAGAAAAAAATGGAGAAGGAATGTGACAGAGATGAAGGAGAGTGGTGATGGCTGAATGAGGCGTAAATACACTGACTGTAAAATGTCTGAGTTCCTAGAACATGTATGAGAGGACTTTTATGTGAGGGAGTAAGTGTACATGCAATCTAAAGTAATTCTGTGTAGGCCATGAGTCAATGGTTAACTGTGTTACACAAGAACAAGATCCAACAGGTGCTCAGCTTCACATGACAAATAAAGACTGACAAAAGCTAACTCGTATTATTCCTGAAGAGATGTGTAAAAGTTGTCAATCTGGTGTTTAGGAAATAAAGTCACACTTATTAAAAAAGTACCGTTAGAAACAATGTGCAGATGTCTGTGATAAAAACCAGGACTCGCTAACACGCAAACAGGAATTTATATTTGATAACAATTATTTGCACTATATGCAAAATTTCTAGCGCTGCATGCAGAGTAGAATCCTCCCTGTTCCAGAAGGAACTTAAGTATGCTGGGGTTGAGAGGAGCTCCAGTTTCCCTTCAATCCCCTCTGTGTCCCTCCCCGTTCCTCCGCCCTCTCTCCCCACTGCCCCAGTTCCGGAGGCCCAGCATGACCCAGTTTGGGCCGAGCGAGAGAGCAAGGGGAGTGGTAGAGAGGCTGGAATGTTTTGAAGGCTGAGACATTCCTCATTGTTCATTCACACAGGCCTTATGTAACTCGGGCTGACGATCACGTGACTCTGAAGCAGCCGTGGGAAGCCAAAGTATTATCACCACCACAGTGGCTTCCTAGCTGTAATCTGATTATGCAAGCTTCGTGCTTACACAACAACCCACAGACCGACAAACGGACTGAGGAGTCGACAGACAAAAGGGACATAGAAAAGACAAGCAGGGAGAGAATCGAACACAAAATAAGTGAAATACCTAAAAACATGTTTATAATAAGCTGATCCAAAGACTGCTGATATCATTAGCAGCTGCCCTTTGAGCTACATGATGCACTGGGAGATATGAGGGGAAGGCGAGCCGCCATGGCTCACTGACCTACATACTGTATATCCTCTTGTAATGAGAACTTGCATACATGACACAGTTTGTTGTTCTCGGTGATCATATTGGAGCAGATCATCTACAGATTCTCTGTGGGATAAGCTGACCCTTTATACAGATAAGAAGGCCATTCAATTACAACACCGCAGATCAGTTGCAGTTTCCCTGGGAGAAATTTAGTCTTAACTGACCTGAATGGTGGTGTTTCCACCTTCCAGCAATGCTATGGCCAGGAGGATGCTTTCCTGGAAGACTCGGTCACTGGTGGTGTTCATGATGAGGTCAATAACCAGGTCAGACGCTCCCTCTTTGTCCAGGTGACACTGCACCTCTGCCAGGCTCATTTCACCGCGACTCAGGCCCCCGGGGCCCCCTAAGGCTGCACGACAGAGAAAAATCATAGACATAGATGAACACTTTTAAATATATGTGTCCCAGTCTTGGCAAATTGAATAAATATCAAAATTGTTAAAAAAAAGTTAAGCAATTTTTTTTATTTAAAAGAATTGCATTAAACAAAGCAAACTGCAGGTGATTAGCAATGGCAATATCCAAAAGAAAAAAAACGACAGCAAGAGAAAATTTGCTTTACTGAAACAGTTACACCTTTTCTTACAGCATCCATTAATGCAGTCTTGTAATTTTTTCTATTTATCTGGACATTATAGAATTCTCTTATTTTAGAAAATAAAAATATATTATATAATAAATTAATGAAAACATTGTATACAAAATTATAATTCTGTTAAAATGGGACACCTTCATTTCAAGATATCATTCCCTTTATTATTTAGAGCTAGATGTTATTTAGAGCTAGACCCCCCCCCCCCCACCCTTGATGCCATATGGGGACATATGGAATTCTCAGTTCGGCTCTTGTTTCTGCAACAGGTGCAAAGGCTGTTTCCACAGGAAGTAGCAGCCTGTCACCTAGCAACAGTGAAAAGTGGATCATGCAGGGGAGGGGTACACTTCCTGTGGTCGGGATTTTTGCAAACATCTCGGTGCAAATAGAAGAGAAGGTGACCTAAAGGAACAAGGGGGATTTTCTCTCTGTGTCTGATTTCAGAAGAAATACTTTTGTTTGCACGTGACCACATCTGGGCCATTTACCACCAACGTATAATATACATAATGAATACATTATGGTGTCACAGCCATGTTACAGGGAATGATAAAATACCACAATTTATGCTGGAGCATACAGAAATCATTCTGATTACTAGATCAGTACTAAATTGGCAGCACTAAAAGTATATACAAAAACAAACACACACTATTGGCACCAATATGTCCTGTAAAATCTGATTATGTGACATGATATATGTTTCATATCAGAAACAATAACCCAAACAGAGGCACAGCCACTGCACAGATACATTGCTTCAGTATTTTGACTGCAGATAGAAACACAATGACCATGTTATCAGGTAGTGATAAGCGTGTTGTGCTCTGCGTGCTCAAAGGGCAGCTCGCAGCACAACTCTGATAACCGGCTCAGGGCCAGACAGAGACCCATCCTTATGTAACTTCATCTGAGAGAAACTTTGCTCTGCTGTGTCTTCTGGGACAGGTTTTCCTTACTCTTGTTGAGGGTTAAGAGCAGAGGATGTCACACCTTGTTAAGCTCTATGAAACAAATTGTGATTGTGAATATGGGCTATATAAAAGAAATTTGATTGATTGATTTTTTGACTAACCAAAAGTAAAGCATATGTAGACCTTGCCCCTCTGATAGGAGTTGTAGTCATTATTGGCATAAGAGTCATGCCTCTCTCTGACGAAGGCCGCTGGTTAATGTTTCTCAAGCATCAGCTCACACAGAGATGCTGTATTCATGGCCTTGTGTGAACCGGCTGAGCTGCATTTCCTGCTGTAAAAAAAAATAACGGCAAACTTCTGTGATCCATGTCGGAGATGCGCAACAACCGTCACGCTGTCCCACCTGATTGGCTTTTGCTCGGTCCTACCGGACTGAGGGGGCCATTCGTGAATGACGTCAGGCTGTCCCTCCGCCCACCACTCCGATGGAAGTTGCCATAGTAACGGTTCACCAGAATCTGTCTCAGCGCTTCGCCCTAAGAGAGAAGAAATGAAGGGATGTAATGATGTTATGTCAGCAACAGGGAGAGAGGGGATGTTGTATAACAGGGAGACATGCATCATCAGTGATACACTGCATATTCTTTAAGGTTTCCTTTAAGACCCTTAAACACCCCCTGACCTCACACAATGACAGCCTGCCACACTCCACAGGAATGAAGTGAGTACATTAACCTTTCAAATTAAATATTTAATTTAAAGAGTTCCTAAAGTTCTATGCATTCAAAAACTTAAACTTTAGTATACGTCATTTAACACCCACACAACCGACACAGCCACTGTTATCATCAGCAGCAGTGACTCTGTGCAGTGACAATGTGAGGTCCTGGTTTTCACTTAGACAGACCTGGGGCCAGCCCTCCCACACTGTGACTCATCCACTGTCGAGCAGTCAGCAGCACGACTTTGACGTTGTTATGGCAACCGCAGCCCATAGCTACCTGAAAGACCTCCCATGGGATAAAGGGAAGGAAATGAAAGAAACTGTTTTTTTTTTGGGTGATTATGAGGAAATCATTGTCAACTGTGGGTGGTCCTTGATAGACGACAGCAGCATTATGTAAGCTCTGCTGTCATAGATATGCTCTGGAGGTCAGGATTAATTAATGTGGGAGGTGAAGAACATTATTCTCCTCTTCTATCCTCAGGTTTAAAGAAGTGTAACAGCACAACACGATCAGCTGTAGTCACAAGACGACCCCCTGGCCTCACTGATTTTTTTCTGAAGCCTTTGAGTTATGAGCCAAACGCTTGTACTCTCCTGTCTAGAGGAAATCTAAATTGCCTGCACAAAACCAAAACCGAACATACCTGATTCTAAAATACTTCTTTTCTATTGGAGATAATTATATATTGATCACCTGTGATCTCTTTAATAGGAACACCTGAGGCTGGTAATGTCATTGGATTGCCATAAACACCATTGGAGAAAAATACAGAGGAAATATAGCCTGAAAGTTATGACATGAATTGTTAATTTAAGCGTGTGTGTGTGTGAGAATGTTTGGGATTGAGAGTGGAGTTGTTTGGTCTTTCTGCAATCGAAGCAGTGAAGAGTAATCAGAAACACAAAAAGCAGGGAGATAAAGTACATTTTGTGTATTTTGTTAGTTTGAATCTTTAATTTAATTATCTCAACGTGAATCTCTGTAGAAGTGGAGTTACAATAAGCTGCCATGCTGTTGTAAGTACCTACCCGCTTCTGGTCCTCTAACAGCTTCTCCGGCTGGTTCTGATCCAGCTGCTGGGTGCAGTGAGGCATGTGAGCGCAGCCGTCCAACAGATACAAACACAGGGTTAGTATTCATGCAGCACAGAAAAGGCAGTTCTCAGGTTAATAACCGTTCTTGTATCTATTCAGCAGTTTACAGTGGCAAAAGGTTTTCTGGAGGTGAGTTGTCATGCAGTCACTGCTATGTTTAGAAACTAAGGAAACATAATAATTGTGGAGGTATAAAGAGAGCAGAGACAGGAGATGTGTACAGTGTTGACTATTAATAATAACAAAATGCTAAAGGACGCGTTCAGTGTGATCTTGTGATCATTTTCTGAATACCCCTAATTTAACTATAAAATTGCGGCCGTGGCTCAGCGGTAGAGCAGGTCGTCCAATAACCGGAAGGTTGGTGGTTCTATCCCCGCTCCCGCTCGCCACGATCGAGGTGCCCTTGAGCAAGGCACCGCCCCCCTCCCCCCAACATCTGCTCCCCGGGTGCTGGCAACAGCAGCCCACCGCTCCAGTATATGTGTGTAATAATTGTGGAGGTACAAAGAGAGCAGAGACAGGAGATGTGTACAGTGTTGACTATTAATACTAATATAATACTAATAAAATGCTAAAGGACGCATCTGTCAATGTGTGTTTCTATGCATGTGCGTGTTTCGACAGGTTAAATGCGGAGAACAATTTCATGTATGCATGTAAAGTGTTAACGTGACAATAAAAGTAAATCTTCTTCTTCTTCAATATAATTTCAATTATAAAGTTGTTGTAGTAGCTAGAGTAGTCTAGAGCAGTAAGACATCTTGGGAACCAGGCTGATCTGTTTTAGAGAGTATAAAAGGACACTGACATATACTGTACATAGACTGTATAAAAAGATGGACGACATGACAGCTCTCAAAGTGAAGCCAAAATGTCTCAATCTCCACCTGGTGGCTGGCTGCAGTATAGGTTGTACAACCCATCTCCTCAATGTAAGTAGATTGGACATGGACCAAACTAAAAAGTCAAGCTACCTATTAAATACATTTTCCTAAAGATGGTTTGTCATTTCAGGTTGTTCTTATCACACTGATGTACAGTATGTACAGCTGAGACTCTGGCTCCAAATGTTCAAGATAGCAGTGCTTGAGAAAGTGGAGAAGCATCGTTAATCTTAACATACAGTCTATGATCTGAGAGTCAGTTTGCTTAGCTTGGCATATAGGGTTGGAACAGAGGGAAAGATTAAGCATGTCTGAAGCTCACTAACTAATAATTACCTAGCGAGACAGCTGGATTTCTTGATAGCATTAGATATCACATTCACAAGAACATAGGAGGTGGAGATGGACGTGTTCTAACTGCGGCTGTCTACAGGGGTGGAGTAAAAAAACGACGTCATGCCGGACACTTTCTACGGCCGATCTCACAGCATTGGCTTTTTTCGTTGCATATTGAACAGATGTTTGGGATATCCCCATGTTTTTGCAATACAATTAAAATCAAAGTTGACTGAGAACCTTCTTTCAGCTGAAATTGTAATAATATCTACCTAATGTAAAGAGACCTGTGATGTGTAAATACACAGGAGGTGAAAAAACAGACACATCATGTGTGTCAGTGAAGCCTTCAGCAAATCAGAGCAGAGTTGTGACGTCAGAGAGGGAGCCCCAAGGTGTTCCAGCTGGAGGAGAGCAACTGCACTGTCTGACTGCAGCCAGCTCGCTCAAGTGATGTTTTAAGGTCACGTGATCTGGTGATGTTTTGCAGCACTGGATGAAGTTGGCCAACATTTCTAACCAGCATGCTTTGTGTTAGGACCAGCATGCATCACTTTAAGTCAGAGCTGTGCTACATAAAGTCACAAACAATGCACCAACAGTCAATGTGACTTTGGCAATTGACCACTGAAATGTAATCGGTTCATTTTTAAGTCCAACTTACGGTTTGTATGAAATTTGAAGAAATTCCCTGGAAGTGTTCCTCAAGGCAAACAATGTGCTTTCACAGCGACCTTGACCAGCGACCTTTGCCGACCCAGATCTGATCAGTTCATCCTCAAGTTCAACTTAACATTTGTACCAAATTTGAGGAAATGCACTCAAAGGGTTCTAGACAAATCATGTTCATAACCTGTAAACATAATGCCTCTGGCTGCTGACTCTCACTGGCACGGGGGCATAAATCCACCAACTGTTGGTGTGATGTGGGTATTTCTGGCTTTAGTGACGTCCAAGAAGACATCAAAGAGAGAACAACCAGCTTCCCAAAAATCAGACTTTTACTTTTAACATTGAAAACGGAAATCACACTGGAGCTGTCATTTAATGTCAATGATGAATAATTGCTATATGAGCAGTTCCCACTTTGAGCAACAAGATGAAACGCATACAAATCAAATGTGGACAAATGACATATCATCCACGTTATTTTATTTGAGTTCTGAGTAGCTTTTCATGGTATTGAAATTCAGTGAATGTAGGTACAGTGTGAGCACATAGCGAGGTAAAAGGAAACAGGTAAAAGGCAATGCTCCACATATATTGTTATGTAAGAGATACACAAGGAGGGGCAGGAGGGGAGGGGGGGGGGGGGTTAGAGTTACATAATCACCCCAAAAGGAACCAGGCCAGTAAACCAGTGACCCAGAGCTGCTTACAGTGGCCATCTGTCACCAAACACACCAAGGGCAAGAGAGGGAGAGCCACTGAAATACAGGTTTGTGTGTTAAGATCTTGCAGTGTATGTATCTATGAAACTGTGTTTACTTTTAGCTTCTGCATGCACCAAATATATTATGTAACCAGGTGTGAGCCTGCGGCCTAACAACTCAATCAAGCCTCCACGATGAGTACACATGATGCTGGTGGTTTTTCCTTTAAGCCTGTCCTACAGAATAGACGCTTAGTTACCACCTCCACCTTAGTTGGTGTCCAAAATACTCAAAGAATAGATTATCAGTAGCTTGATCTAAAGTAGACACTGGATGTCCCTACACTAAACGGTAAAAACAAATAAGTAGAAGATGCCAAACATACTGTTAACTTACAGTTAAAGTTATTCTACAAAGATCTTTTAAAATACAGATACAAATACAAGACCATTAATTGAATAATAATTTCCAGTTAAGTATGTTTTTCAATTATAACTTCTATTATATGGATAATATATTAATAAAAGTAATAAATTATATTTCTATGGCAATTACATTTGAGACATAGATGTGACTATTTGTTTTCAGATTGTGATAGTACTTTTTTGATCAAAAACAGAACTTAAGGAAATGTACTTATAATTTATTTGTAAGTTTATTTGTTATGTCATTTTTCACAGGTGCAAGGTGCAATTATTGAAATTGATCAGTACTTAAATTAAGGGTTTTGTTTGTTTTAGCATTTAAAAGTATGAGAACGATTTCCTGTTGGGGTAAAATAAGACAGAGGAGGAAAGAGAATGTGACAGATGGACAGATGTGAAAGAAGAAAACAGAGAATATACTCATACAAATACTTTGTGGTACACAAAGTGAAAATGATGTCATTTAACTTTATTATTTAAAGGCTACACTAGTCTGCCACGGCTTATGTGCACTTATCATCTTTATGATTATTCATGTATTGTCTTATTACTTACGACTTCTAAGATATATTTCAAACTTTTTTCACAAACACAAAGACTGACTTAAATCTGACAGAAGACGACACAGTGAGGCAGAGTTCAGATGCGGGTTAGGGGGGTGGGGTGAGCAGCATCTTCCACTAGTCTGTGGAC